GATTATTTAGATTTATTAATGCCAAGGCACAGGCCAGATGGCAACTATAAAATATTATATAATAATATAAAAATATATAGCGATCATAATTTATAATTTATGGTTTGAGTATTTTTATGGAAATAAAATAAAATAAAATATTGTCAGCAATTTTTCTTCGTTGATTAGTAAAACATTCCTGACTTACCGACATTATACGCTCGTTTCACGGTCGTTTCACTTACAAACTACCGTGCAATGACAGACGATCGATCGATGATCTACGATTTTTACTTAGGTAAAAAATCGAAGAAGTCAAGTAAAAATTTGGTTTTTCGAAGAGTGAAGTATGATAATTATACAGAATAAAAATCATAAAGTAACAGTGAAAAACTTTCACAATGATACTCGTCGTTCACTGTCAAATGACGGCCGTTCGACAGTCAAGTGACGGTCATTCGACGATCATTTGTCGACACTGTGAATTCACGGTACATTCACCGTCGTTTCACGATCATTTTACTGTGAACCCGAATCCGTCAGGGAAAATTGAAAAATTTTAACTATTTATTAATTTTCCGACCGTGATAATTATAATTTTTTTTAAACCCATTCCTGCCATTACGGTCATTTTTTGCTAGTATAATTCTAATTCAAGTGGATGGTAATATTCCAAAAAAAAAAAAAAAAAAAAAAAAATTGAAAAACTGGAAAAATCGCGAAATTTTGAATTTGCATATATTTTGAAAAAAATTTTTTTATTTTTTTCCTTTAGCAGCAGTTCGTTGTATGATAAAAGAAAACTTCTGACCAAAATTTATCCAAATCGAAAGGGGTCGATTCCAACTATTAGCCGATTTGACATGGATTGACCCAACTATATTATACTATCAAGTCGCAACAACAGTAGTAATCCTGTTGCTACAATAAGATTTTTTCCTGTCGTTGCAACATTGCTGCCTCCTGTTGCAGCTACAATAAATTTTTTTCCGTGTAGAGTCCGTACAGCGCTGTTGCAGCCCTGTTGCGGCTATTTTATGTTTTTACTCGGGGATATCGAAGGGGGTCGGGCCGAAACCTCGGTGATTTGGCATGGAATACCCCATATACTAAAAAAAAAAATAGTAAAAATACTCTTTTTTTGAGCCTCTGAAACCCACCTAACCCCTTAAGTTAGCGTCCGGTGGACAATTTTATATGGAATTGAGTGAGAGCGTGTGAGTACAGTCACTTAAAAAACGTTGTATAGATGCCCGGGTCGGGGGTACAACGGAATAAGTTAGGAAACCGCTGTGTAAACGCCCGAGTCGGGGACGCAGTCGGAAATAAGGTTTTATATGGTAGTCCATCAGGTTGATGAGGTAAAGTTTATGATGTTATATCGTAGTCCGTCAGGTTGACGAGGTAATTTATGGTATTTTATGGTATTCCATCAGTTTGACGAGGTTTATGGAAATAGAGAGTTAAGTGATATTTCGTCTGTACGATTTTGGGCAAGTGGCCTGCGTAGGTGAGAGGTTCTCACAGTTAAGTAATTGTTAAGTTAGTTTTAAAGAGAATATTGCTGATAAAATTTGTTAATTTTAATTGATTATAATTGAATAAATAATTTCATTGTTGTTATTAATTTTTCTCAGTGTTATTTTACAGCCCTCTCGAACTTCTCACGACCTTGTCTTTCCCCCCTCATGTTTCCCCGGTTTCTGGGACACCATGTCCAAAATCCCAGTGGCGCCCTTTTCAAGGAGGAAAGGGGTGACCAATTGGACACGGCTAACCACCCTCGTTACAATTTTCATAGTGGCAAGTTAAAAAGATTAGAAACCGATGAGAGATTAAAAAATTTAATATTCTTAGTTCAATTTTAAAAATCGAGTAATCATCAGATGTCTACTTTTGAATAAATGATTTGAGTTTTTGTAAGTATGCCTGTTTGTGCATATGTTTAAAAATGTATTCTTCTATGATTGATTACCCTGGTGAAAATTTTTCAGACTTTTCTCTCAAAAACTCTGGAGAAGTCTTTAGAACTTAAGATAAGTCTTTTTTCAGAGTTTTTCAGAGAAAAGTCCGAAAAATTTGTACGCGGGTAATTATACCTGGTCGTTTTATTAATTCTTGTAGATACTTTTTATCAACATTTAATTGGCCGAGGAGATTACTACTTTCACGTTTAATGGCCGAAGAATTTTTGCATTTTTCAAAAAGCTCTGTTGAAGAATTATTTTGATGCTGAATTGTTTTTTCTCCGTTTGCTTGTTTAATTTTTTCGTCCATTTCTGATGTTTTAGTGAATAGATTGTGAAATTTGGGTTTTTTAAATCCTCTTCTTTCCATTTGAGAATCGATTTTGATTGGTGCACAATGATCTGTAACAGAGTATTTTTTAACGTAAAAATAAGCATAATGATAAATATTTAAATCAAATTACCCAGAATGTTTTGAATAGCTTCTTTAGCCTTTTGTACACCTAATCGAAACTGATCAAACTCAGGTCTAATTCTCATGCCTCGATAATAAAAAACAAGACTCAGCTCAAAGTCTCCAAGGTGATATAATGATTCAGCTTTATAAAAAATTGCTCGGGCATTATTGGAATCGTTCATTTTTTCATTGAGAGCTGCTTCCGCATCATGAAGTGCCTTTTGTGGTTCTCCAAGCAATAAGTAACATTTACTCCGAGCTAATAATGCGTTTTTATCGCTTGGACTTAATTCGAGTGCCTGTAAATACCAGATAAATTGTGGTTAGATAAACAATAAATTAACTAGATAAATTATTCACAAAATGAAATATAAATAACAACATTTTCTTGTACGAAACTCATAAGAATAACGACATATTCTTTTTTATTCTGGTAATCGTGCTGGAGTCAAGCGGTACCGTGATATTTCGAGACATCTTAAATCGTGATAGATTATCGAAATTTGCCATCTTTCCTAAAATGCTATTGTTTGTACAGTAGTTTATTTTTTTTCGTTTGTTTATTTATTCTTCAATAAATATGTAAGTATATAGATATGTATATATAATATGTGTGTGTATGTATATATACATATGTATACGAGTTGATATTATATATCATACAGCATATTATCTAGATCGCGTGTCAGCATGATGATTCGTTTTGTGACTTAATATATCTATACAAAGCAGCGATTAAAAAAAATTAAATTAAACATGAAAACATGATATCATAAAACTAAATTGAACCTTATTGATACAGCTAATGGCAATGCTGAGATTCCCCGACCGCATTTCACGTGTACCAAGCGCTAGCATAGCACTTGGTTCAGCTTCTTCTGGTATTTGCATCATCTTGCTTCGATCTTGTCGGCGCTTTATTTTTAATGATTGAATAATATCACGAGTACCCATATTGACTGCGGCAGCACGATCTTTATCAGTATATACTTCCTCTTGTCTACGTGAAATACTTGTTTTTCGTCGGCGCACTTTATTAGTCTTTTGCTCATTAATTTCATACTCAACAGAACCTTTATTGAACCGTCGACTTGGTTTCATATCTTTTTTATTTTCTTCACTTTTTTTTTTGCTAACAACTGAATCTTGTAATTCTGATGAGCTAGCTCGATTATCGCTTATGTACTCTTTACTTTCTTTTCTTGTTTGCTCGGTAACATCTAATTTTTTTTTCGTATCTCCTAAACCTTCATCTAATCCAATTCTTACGAAGCTTTGAAGAAAATCATTGTCTTGCAACGTTGGCTTCAAAATATTAGATACTTGAATTGTAACGTTACTTTCACTTGATTTGCTCATTCTATATAATTTTTGATCGTTCAAATTTCTTAAAAACTCACACAATTCATATCACCTTACTTCTCAACCAAAATTTACTAGTCTGCAGATATCAGTTTTTTTAGTTTTTAACCGACGTGCAGATATTGACACCTTGATGAGGTGGCTAGTTACCTTAGCAACCATCAACAATGCGCCACATTCAGCAACGCCGATGGCGTCATCTTCGTGTTTTCAAATGCTTTACCTCCACGTGCGTACATACCAGGTATTCGTGCCACGTGAGAAATAAAAATCATGTCCAATATCACCTGTTGCCAACATGAGATTCATTTGCGCATCTGTTGTCACCGAGTTCTGTTGTCACATATGACTTCCTGACTACCTGTTGAGCATTTATATCCCGATCTTGCAAAATTGATTTCCAACACTGTTTTCATCAGTTAATAAATGTTCAAGTTTTGAATTAATACTATATCTTATCATAACAACTTTTATTGCTTAATAGTGTAGAATTACAAAATCGTGTTTACTTACTTTATTGTATAATGCAAGCGCTTTATTGTAATGTTTGTTTTTTAAATGACCAGTGGCTTCGTCTACACGTACTTTTGTTTCAATTTGTGTAGCACTCGGCTTACTTTTTTTAGCATTTTTCATCTTACGATTTGATTTCATATCGAACTATAAAAATATCTATGACTAATTATGCCATATAATTTTATCCTTTATAAAATAATAAAAGATTTTACCTGTTCATCAATTCTTGCCCTTTCAATATCAATTAGTATTATAACGTATGGAACACTTATTTGATTATTTAGCAAGATGTGAAACAATAATTCTGACACTAAAAATATTTATTGATTATACTTTAAAAACCAGAAATGATTAAAACCTTGTGTGAAACTGGTACTACGCTTTTTTAACTGGGTATTAATAATTATAAATTATCTTATTAACAAATTCTTACAATAAACGTATTTTTCCAATACTACTCGGAATATTTTTCAAGTCACATTGCGGTTGCAACTATTCTTACAGAAATAAAGTAAACGTAAAGAAATTTGTTACAACAAGAGCGCGCAAGCTCAGGGTTAACATAAGATTCCTTTATTTTATACACGTGATATCGTTTGCCTACTAACTATAATAGTGTTCACGATTGGCCGACCCACTAAAACATCAACTCTGTTCTGCTTGAAATTACTAGTTTTTGAAATAATTGTATGAATGCTACTTTAAAAAATTTGTCATACATCGAGATAGTTAATGAACATGAACCCCCTATAATGACTTAATACTATAAAATATTTGATATAATTCTCGAAAAAAGTTCCGCCAAATTTATGATAAATACTTCAACAAGAAATCGAAGTTTTCATGTTAATGCACAATATTGAACGCGACAGCAGTCGAACCCTTTAGAAATTTGTAATTACTAATCGATAAACCGAATAAATACACATAGACGGTTTAAGGAGGTCAATCGTTGCGTGATCCGCAATGTTTAAACTTTTCGTATCAGAAAGAAAAAAAAACTTCTGATAATTGTCATTGACATAGAATACACTAAGTCATGCTATCTTAAATCGTTTTTGACGTATTAAAAAAATTGATCTTGAAAATTCACAAAAAAAACTAAACTATTATGAATAATAATCGAGTTAGAATAAATAGTGATCAATTAATAATAAATACTATTTCAAACAGTAAAATTGTGATTTTGATAGTTGATTTATGATACTTATTATTCAAATTCATCTCTGTAAATAGATTTTCGGACATTTCAACGGAACCATTTTGCCCTTGAAAATGCATTCTCTACTCACTTAGTTAGTTTTTTATAGTAAAGTGCTAACTTATCAGGAATATGCTCGTGATTAGAACAATAAGAATTTCAGTTTTGATTATAAACAAAAAACGCTTTTCGGCCTCAATCGAGATGAAAGGTAGATTTCGCAGGAATAGATTATTTTCAATTTTTTCCTAATAACTTGTGTAGTAAATATTACAAGTAAATATTTTATATTTTAAATTATAGGTAATTTCATAAGCTTCAATGTGTCTTTTTAACAATTGGTTATCTCTTCTTAATCAAAATTATCTCTTCTTAATTAAATTTATTCACTGATAATGTGACCAAAAATGCAATTTTTACTGTTTTTAAAATTTTAAATGGCTACCGATTTTGAACTCATCGCCCGATTTTTCTGATAAACTTACTCTATTACATTATCTTAAACCAGTACATTATCTAGCCTTAATCAACTACTTAGGTGATATTATGACAAAATTCTAAATGAATTTTGACATGAGGACCAATGCAATAGATTTCTTCGAAATCTACCTAAAAACGACGTAATTCAGAACATGCCCTGATAAAAAAAAGTATTGAGACAAAGAAACAAGTATTGAAAAATATTGGTTTTCTATTCAATCTAATACTTTTCAATACTTTTTTCTTTGTCTCAATACTTTTTTTTATTCAGGGTAGGGCGTTTCATGCCAAATCACCGAGTTTTATACACGACCCTGTTTGATTTTTAAAAAATTAGAAAAACGGTAGACCTGAAGGCCATCCGTGCAACTTCCCGCTAATTCCATACCTAAGTGCATAAAACTGCACTAATTACGTTTTTGAGCTCTTCGAGCTCAAAAATACAATTTATGTGTTATTTTGAGCTCTTCGAGCTCAAAAGTCTGATAGAAGTATCATAGAACAATATTTTTTTAATTTTCAAACCTCACTAACTTTTAAATGAATCACTCGATTTTCAGGCGGTTGGCAGTATTTGACGCAATTTTTTTAGTGTCATGGAAAATCTTCAAGTTTGAATTAATAAAACTTGGAAATTCGGAGTAATTTTTTTGGTTTTCTTTCGTTCATGATATTTCCTGAACGAATTGACCAATTTCGACCGGCTTGACGGCGATCGACGTAATTTTTTCATGCTAATAGCTGATAAGTTTTTGAAATTGATCAGTGCAGCCGTTTAAAAGTTATTCCAAAAAATGTCGGAGTTATGTTAAAAAAACAATTGTTTTCAAATATTTTATCGAAGATATTTCTCGAACTAATGAACCGATTTCCACGTTTTTGGTGGCGATCGACACGGTTTTTTAAGCTCTGAAATTATTCTATATCATCAAAAACGATCCCAGAAGAAATGACGAAGTTATGTCAAAAAAACACTTTTTTCGGTTTTCTTTCGTTCCCGATATCTCTCGAACGAATCAACCGATTTTGATCGGATTAGCGACGATCGGCGTGGTTTGTTGGACATCTACACTGCCAGCGACCATCATGCGATATTCTGGGAAATATCAAGCGACCAGAACCCCAAGAAACCAGTCAAGCAGACTAACATCGTTGGTTGGAAGGTAAAATCTTTTGACCCAGAAGCATTACTAATAGCCCTCGATAGCGCGGCTATCAACGGCCCAACTCAGTGGAGCTGATCGCAGAGTACAAAAAGGCGCGCCATGAACTGAATAAAGCCATCAAAGAGAGCAAAAGAAGATGCTGGAATGAGGTTATATACGAGGTGGATAAAGACGTGTGGGGTAAGCCTTATAAGGTGGTTATGACCCACTTGAAAAAACAACAAATGCCATGACCTACGGGCCCCCAACTTCTTCAGAAAATCGTCACTGCACTGTTTCCACAGCAACGCAACTTTGATTACTAGTTGGCGCCAGGCGAATTGGACGACATCCCACCTGTCACTGAAGAAGAACTGCTGGAGGCTTGTAACCGTGTAGGGAATAATAAAGCGCCGGGATTGGACGGAATCCCTAATTTAGCCTTGAAAACCATCATAAAGGCAGCTCCAACATTATTCCTAGACGCTTATAATGCATGCCTCAAGGAGGGGACTTTTCCTCGTAAGTGGAAACAGCAACGATTGGTACTGTTACCTAAAGGGAAGAAACCACCAGAAGAACCGTCATCTTACCGACCACTTTGCATGCTAGATACGGCGGGTAAGATATTTAAGCGCATAATTCATCAACGAATAAATGCAGTAGTCGACCCACTCCTGGCAGACAACCAGTATGGATTCCGGAAAGGACGATCAACCCTGGACGCGATCAATCTGGTTGTTAGCACGGCTAAAGAAGCGATCGCAGGAACCAGATGGAAGGGTGGCATAAAGAAGTATTGCCTGGTGGCGGCATTAGACATTAAAAACGCCTTCAATTCCGCCAACTGGAACTGCATCATGCAAGCTCTTCGAGAGAAAAACGTTCCAGAATATCTGTGTAGAATAGTGGCCAGCTATTTCACCGATAGAGTTCTTAAATACGACACAAAAAATGGTCAAAAAGAGTACGATATTACCGGAGGTGTACCCCAGGGCTCTGTACTTGGTCCACTGCTGTGGAATATCATGTACGATGGCCTATTGAGATTGAAATTGCCAAGAAGTGTAAAACTCGTAGCGTATGCAGACGACGTAGCCGTAGTAATCGTCGCTAAACACCTTGACGAGATTAACAATATGTTTGACATCACCTTCGAGCGAGTCCATTGGTGGATGAATACGGTAAAACTGCATCTGGCTACACACAAAACTGAGGCAGTGCTTATATCCAGCATAAAAGTGTTAGAGACCATCAAGCTGAAAGTCGGCGAACAAGAAATCACATCACAACCTTATATCCGATATTTGGGAGTGATGCTTGATGCCCGTCTCAACTTTAAACAGCAAGTGGAACACGTCAGTGCCAAAGCGTCAGTAGTGAGGGCTATTCTCGCACGACTGATGCCGAACGTCGGAGGCCCAAAGCAGAGCAGGAGAATACTACTATCATCAGTTGTCACATCGGTGCTCACATATGGAATATCCATTTGGGCAGACGCGCTGAAGTTGCAAGAATCATGGAGAAAAGCTGGACCAGTATATCGACTGAGCGCTGTAAGACCAGCTAGTGCATTCCGCACGATATCAGAAGTAACAGTGTGTGTCATTTCCGGAACTTTGCCGCTCAGAGTTCTAGCTGAGGAAAGACGGAAC